GGCCACTGACCGAAGAAACTGGACCAGTTGTCCACGGGCCCTGGATGAAAATAATCTTAAACTTAAAATAATCTGCTGGAAAATACTGTCAAATACACGTATCTGTGAATCACATACTAGCTTGTTTTATTTTTCATCTGCCTAATTTTGTTTGACATATTGGTTGAAAACAATTACATGACATACATATATACTGCCCCTCCCTACAATGCAAAAAAAATGGTTTGGTCTACTCTTTTAGTGGCGCTCAATCAAACTCGCGGGCTTTTGAAAAGCAATGCTTTACAACACAGTACAAGCAGTAGCAACGTAGCTTTTGAGCAGATTTTAGACGGGAGAACTGAATACACGCGTTTCTGTATTTCTTTATACGTATGTTTATATGTATGTTTTTTGTATGATTTTTAAAATTAGATTTCAGTTTGCATCAAGATCATTTTGTCACCTTTTCATGTTCTGAACCTTTTACAGGGCAATTCTAAGGGAATTTTAGGTAAAACTGGACCTCTGAAGTAAATAAATAGCAAATTGAATTATATTGTAATAATCATTAATATCATTAGATATGGAAAAAAATCATGATAAACTATTTTATCATATCACTCAGCCCAAGGCTGATATCAAAAATGATTGCCAAATTTTAGGCAAGTAGTATTCCTATAGTATAATTTTTAGCAAGACTTGGGTAGACTTATAAAAGTGAATTCAGAAGTTTTCTTTTGCTTCAAGTAAATTAATTTACTTTATTTACTTAAGTCTGTCATAAACAAAAATAAAAGAAAAACACGATTATCAGTGTGCAGTTACTAGGCAATCAGAAACTAAGTGATTTTTCTATCTTCACCATCAACAGAAATAGTTATTCAGCCTATATAAAGAGTAACAAACTATTGGCCATTGTATTCAATTCACATTAACAAGTCTAATAATAATGATAGACACTTTATTAATCCCTGTGGTGTTTTTACGCCTCCCTCAACTTGCTCTCTTTTTGGACAGCTCTCGTAAGCCATTGTCCTGCATGAATATTGTAAGCTTTTTAAAAGTTGCCGACTTCTTTTTGTACAAGCACTTGAAGAACTCAAACCAAATACTGAGCGTGCTATATTTCTAAACTGTTCTTAAATGGAGATTAATCTGGACTGAAACTATTGGTCGGAAGAGAAGATATAACAAAATACTTACTTGCCTAATAATTCTGCATGTGGTGTATTTGATGGATCTTTTTCAAATTTGGCAGACATGTAAGGCAGGCGCGGAGGCAGGGGGTGGCCGGGGGGGGGCCGTGGCCACCCCCCGCCGAACCCCGGCCACCCTATTGGCCCCCCCTGGTCTGACCACAGCCATCCATGCAACCACCCGCGCGACGCGGAACCTTTTTTGTACTGCCACAGCAATGCCGGACACTTTTGTGTGCGCACATCCTGGTACCGCCAGTGGAGTTCTTTTACTGTCATTGAGTGGAGCGGATATATTTCTATGAGTGGAGTGGAGTGGAGCGGAGAGGAGTCCAATACCACTGGCGGGAATTTGAAAACGCGACGGAACAACAAATAATTACAGGTAATCTTGTTTAAACACTATTAATCTAATACAAAAGAAAAAATAGTAAAAGTATAAGCATTTTCTAACTTCTTTATGCCTCAGTGAATTCGTAATTAAACTGTTTAGTAAGCTACATGAGGCAAAAAAAGAGAAAAAAATAAAATTATGTCACATTTGTCATTCCAACTAAAGTCTGACTACTTTTTGAATAATTTGTTGATAGTTCTAATTTATGCCACCCCCAAAATGATCACATAATCATCCTGGCCACCCCACAGAAAATTTCCTGGCTCCGCCACTGATGTAAGGGTGAAGATCTGGACCTATTCAAATTCTGAAATAAATACCATCAAAATGGCAAAGAGAAAGGCAGCCTCAGATAGACAGCGTTTGTATGTGACAGCAACAGGGTAGTAGAGCATTTGATTTTGAGGGCTTAGTACTGCTTAGTAATTTAAATACACTGGTGTATATATCAGGAGGTGTGGGGGTGGGGATGAATCCAAATTAAATATTGTGGGGCACACATCTCCCCACTTCCTACTTCCCTGTAACTGTGTATTTTAGACCGAGTTCACAGTAAAACACAGTATGGTGATCCATTACTATACTGTCGATTGTGTGGCACATCACATACAGTTCACAAGAAAGGACTGTCATGGATATCCTGTCATGCCCTGCTCATCCGATCCTCCTGTGTGCCATGCCCCCACATTAACCTCATGTGAATTCCTGATTGTTATCGGCTGTTCCGCGTTTCCGTCATTAAGTCCTGTGTATTTAAGTCCGCGTTCAAGTCTGTTTCCCTAGGTCTGTCGTTGACGTTGTCTGCTGTTCTATGCCTGCTTTGTTGTTTTTTGTGGAATAAACCCCATATTCCTGATTCTCCGGCTTCCCCACCCTGATTCCCCGCTCTGAAATTCCCCTGCTCATCGACAGTACATAATATATCCTTAATTGGTATCTTCCAATGCCCACAATAAATGGAATTCTAAATATAACAACAACAAATAATATTCACAAGCATAACAATCCTGAAGGACCTAACCCTGGCCATTATGCTATTAGCTAACCCTGCAAATTCTGATTCTGATACAGTTACTAAACAAGGGAATTTTTTCATTTCACTAAGGATTCAGGTATAAAGAATCAATTTTCTTCTAACAACACTGCAATTCTTTGCACTGTGAACTCATGCATTCCTCTACATTGGTACAGCATACATTCGGTGTCTGCTTTATTAAGTGTACCAAGCTAGTACTGAATAGGACACACATTTCCCTCCAGAACCTGATACAGTGTGGCTTGGCACCGGCCGGTAGATAGGGTGACGATCCACTGACAGCTCTGTCACAAAAGGGGTTTATTAATTAAACAATATACACTGGTGAAAAACACAAACTAAAGTTATATAACAAGGGATCAGGGTGAAGACAAAGAAGGGAACTGGATGGCCAGCAACATCTGCTGGCCAAATGGGGAGGAGATGGGCAGGGAGGGACGGGTGCTGACCCTGACAGAACCGTCTTGACTACAGATGAATTGTATGATCAGCAAAACCTTTTTGCCCACCACAGCTGGGTGGATTTTTGCTTTTTGCTTATCATACAAATGTTGCCAGTTGAAATCTTTTGGTCAGGAAAGGCCATTAGCCCAATTGCTCCAGAAATTGACTAACCCAGAGGCTTTCTTAATCATATTTAGTGTTTGGTAAACATGTCTGGTAAATCAAAGCTGAGCTGTTATTTTCCACAAGTGACCTTTCTGTTAGTCTGGTCATTCCCCACTGACCTCATTAACAATTATATATTAAATAAATAAATAAATAAATAAATAAATAAAATGTTTGTTTTGCTTGTTTGTTTTAAATAATTAAAATAATTACCACTGACTGTATGCACCATTTTCTGTAAACCCTACACATTGTAGTGCACGAGAATCACATAGCTTATATTTTAGGAAATAGGTAACCATTAAGCATAAATGTTTAAAAGAACCAAAGCCGTTCGTACCATGTAGCTCACTGCATGATTCCTAATTCTTTATGAATGATAATCCAGTTAGTGGGGTTTGCATTTATGATATTAACACGCGAGCATTATTATCTTTAAAATATAGCAGCATCAAAAGCAGATATCTAATTTACGTTACGTTTTGATAGAAATGCTTAACCTGAGTGGACAAATAGAAGCACGGGAGACGCAAAATTAGTATTGCAACTGGCGATGGCTGCAGTGTTTCTGCGCCTTTCATCCATCCGTCCGTCCAACCGTCCATCTATCCATCCTATAGACCAGAGGTCACTAACAGGCGGACCGCGGGCCGGGTCCGGATCCAGAAGCTGTCCCATACGGACCCAGACCGATAGCCAAAACATTGTTATTATTTAAAACCTGACGGGACGCTTCTATTTTAACCGGCGCAGCGTTTGTAGTATTTTCGGTAGTGGTTTAGCAGTAGAGCCGCCGTTTCCCACGCCAATGAACGTCAAGCGTCTTTGAACGCCAAGCAAGATGTAGTTCGGCGTATGCAGCCCTTTGTCTGCGCTAATGTGCCGTTAGTGGTAGTAGTAGCATCGAAGATAAAACCCACAACCAAAAAGCCGTAATGTTCCTAACAGAGAGACTGGTCTGGCCTGAAATCATAAAGCTGAACAGTTTTCAAATACAGTATGTATTATATAACATATTGGATAAATAGACGTAGTTTATTGTTGATTTCATGTTCGTTGAAGTTTCTGCTTTTTAACATATGCATAAAGTAATGTTATCTGTTATATAAATGTACTCGGGTGAAACAAAAAATGTACATTTTCATGGCTGCCAAATCTCAAGCATCTGCACTACAGCCAGCTGCCCAAAGTTCTTTGTCACGTGACAATAAATATTGTCAAAACGTTTTTCAATTGTACTGAATTAATTTGGTTCGACAGTCAGGTACTGATTACATGCAATGTTGGTACAGCTAATAGGCTACTTAAATATAGATCACACTAAATAGTTAGACATTATAATCTTCTGGACCTTTGCTTCAAGAAGTTTTCTCTAACTGGACCTCTTTAAATTCTAGTTGAATACCCCTGCTATAGACAATCATCGCTTGGGGCCCCGCGCTTAAGCGAGGCAGAATTGGGTTCAAGGCAAAGAAGCGAGACGCTCTCCTCAAACCATAGTCGCACATATGGAAAATCATTGTAAATTAACTTCAAACTAAAGTTTTTCTTCGTTAAGATATTTAATCATTAGAGAGTCGGAGTTTAGTCAAATATAATATTAAGCACATTTTCAACAATATTAAAACGAAAAAAACAAAAACAAATTATATGTTCGTTTTCACTTTATCTTCAAAATAAAATGGGGGAAAAATATCACAACCCACATTAGGTAAAAGGAAAACAAATTCTAAAAGTTTCCTTCTCTCATGTACATGGTCTAGTGGAATCAACATATACTCACATTTATTGCCTGTGATGGTCTCACAATTTCGGAACACAAGAGAATAAACAGAGAGGCCTTAATAACTGGAGATGTGTAGACCAGGTTGGTCATTTCAGCAGTAGAAAGTTATCTTGCGAAAAAAACACGAGTATTTCCATGTACTGAGTGGATAGACCTTTTCGTCGTCCCCTGTTTCAGTCCTTAACGCTTTGCTGTAAATAAATCGTCTACTCTCACTTGTAAAGTCGGTTAATTAAAGAAGTACATAAATATCCTGAAATTGAGAAAGTTTAGTGACAGTTTGCATACAAACAGCTCATACAGCCGGTTGACGTTATTGCTGCATAGAGAAATGTCGCAAGCGCCGCCAATAATGAAACGTGTGGCCAATGCGATCAAGTAGCCTACTGTACGGCACGGTGGGCGGTATTTGTATTTGGGTGCCAAATGTAGTTTCCTCAGTTATAGTTACTGGTCGAAAAATCATGAAAAAGTCTAAGTGTAGTTTAATAGAAATGTGTCCCAAATTAATATGATGTGTTGATTACTACATTAATATGTTCATTTCTTTACTTGCGGGAGTTTCTGGGAATAATCAATTAAAAGTGATGTTGGAGAGCGGCTTATAATTTAACATTTTATCCTTAATGGCTGATAATTTTTAACATGCATTTCATCCATCACCTAATTTTCTAAACCCATTAATCCGAGTGCAGTAAACCACGATCAGACACAACGCATGTGCACCCTGATGGGTTCCACTCCCTTACAAGATGCGAACTTTGACAAATTTAAAAAAGAACGTAAAATGTCATATGATGAATACAATATATATGTAAGTTTTTAAAAATTGCTGTCTTTACCGCGGGGTCATTTTAGAAGGCTGATGTTCACAATTATTTTTGAAGGATTCCCCAAAAAAATCATTACGTTAAACATTACGCTTTATTAGCGTGGTAACGTTGGTTTTATATTTGATATTCGTTTGATATTCGGATTTGCCTCCCCTATATCTTTGAAACGACATCACCAAAAATCACAAAAGTCACACTTTCTGTTTCAGGAGAAAATGCAGATTGTACTACGACATTGTATAGTAAGAGATATGTTCATTAATTATTGTAGTGACGATGCATTTTCTGCGAAACTAATAAGTCTTTTGCGAGGGACCGTATACAAAGTGCATTCTGGAGAACCAAGCATTGCTACTGGAGCATTTCTGCTAAGATTTTCTAATACAAACAACTGTGAAATGGCAATAATTTCACTTTCATAGTAGACGAATTTGTTACCCTTCAAAGGTTGTAGTAGTTGCCAGATGTGATCATTGATTTACTACAGGTGGAATTTCTCAGAATTATCCAACCACGAGTTTACGGTAATTCAATACATTTTTTGGAAAATTACAGTAAACCATACAAACGAATTTTTCCCACTTCAAAGGTTGTAGTAGTTGCCAGAGGTGCTCCCTGACTTACTACAGGTGGAATTTCTCAGAATTATCCAACCACGAGTTTACGGTAATTCAATACATTTTTTGGAAAATTACAGTAAACCATACAAA